ATCTGCTTACCAGGGGACGGGGGGAAACAGTACGTTTAGACAGAAGTCTGTCATCTCTATTCATTCGTATCACATGGATCTGCCTGTTGGGAGAAGAAGTAGGGAAGGTTTTCTTGAAGTGCACCTACCCTTCTGGCGGGAAGGCTTGCTGGGATTGCTGGGCAGGTTTCTTCTGGAGGGTCCCATCTCTCTGGAGTAGCTGCAGTGGAGTTGAGGGCAGGTTCTCCGGTGAGGTAGGAATGTGCAGGAACTCCGCCCTCTGGGCACAGTCACACAAACCCAGCAAAACAGCCACAGCCAGCCCTAAAACCTCTAATGATCTTCACCTTCACCTCTTTCTAACCCAGTTCTCCACCACTTTTTGACCCATTTACCCAGGCACCTTCACCACGGGGCAGGGAGGGGGGGGGGGGGGGGGGGGGGGTGTATTCAGGATAAGAACATTTCAGTGCACAAAACTGCCGCGAAGCTACTACAGGCACTGGTGCATGGATAGACCCCTCTATAGGGTCGTTTGTGTCTATATGTATGTATGTATACATATTTATTGCCATTCGTTGAATTTGTAGTCGTGTAATATGTATGCGCATTACTTTCTTGGGCGGGTGTATTATTCGTGATTGTACAATTAAGTACATGGCAGTGACTATTTACAGGCAGACTTTTTTTTTCCCCATCCCAAGAGAAAATAGGAATAATTAAAGAATATAATCACTAATAAAACAGTGAGTCTTGCTCAATATTCTTTCTGAAGCAAAACTCTGATGTGGTTCAGTCAAAACGTCACCGGGGTTCAGTGGGAGTTTTGCTTGAGTGAATAGTGAATACGTGGTGATTGAGACCTCATATTAACACAAGTGGTGAGGGGGTGTGTACCTGAATCATAATTTCTGACATAAATCTAAATAATCATCAGAAGAAGTTGTAAAGAGTGAAATGACGTCCCGGTTAAACTATTTTTTCAAGCACCGGATTAAAAAAATTATCACTCCCCCAAACAGTAGTTTTGTGCCGTTTAAGGCAAAATATATTATTGTTCACTTTCTTTTAAACGCTTTCATAAGAATACATTCCACATAACGGGTGCTATTTTACTGAAACAAAAGAAAAATATTTTAAATATGTCAAAAACTGGTTGGCTAAATATCCCATTGTGGGTTCGAGTTACGGTTTATTATCCCTCAAACATGTTTGCGAAGGCAATCTTAAAATCGTAATTGGAGGTTTCTTGATGAGCAGATTTCTTCTCCTACGATCTATGCGAGCAAAGTTAATCACCTCAAACATCAGCTAGGAAAATAACAATAGCTCCTTAATTCCATAAAGACCACCCGTTCCCCATAAACACTCTAAATTAGGAAACGCTAAAGAAACAACGCTGAGACACCGCAACATTCTGGAAATATGCATATTTTAAAAAAAAAAATCCTAAAAGCTTAGCTTGAGGATTTGACATATAAAACACCATGGAAACAAGTATCAGATAATAGAATTATTGCCTGCTTATTAAAAAAAAAAAAAAAATCCCAACCAAACCCACCACCTCACATCTGTGCAAAGATTAGCCTAAAAAACATCCTCAGCGAACAAAAGAGGTTCTCTGGCTGGGGATCAGGCAAAGGTAAAGGCATATTTGGGGCCTTGGTAGTCCTGCTACAATCCACGACAAATTTAGCGGTTTTTTTCCCTTTACAAAGACAGTCTCATTGCTGGTAATATGTACATGGAAACGTGACTAAATTACCAGCTCAACAACCACCCCTTCCCCCAGTGTAAGAGAAAGAGGGAAAAGTCTGTGGCACCTGAACTGCTTAGGCAGCACTTTGCTACACTAAACCTAAAAGAGAGCATTGAGAGCGAGTGCTTGCCTAACCGAAGTCTGGAGACACATACATCAGGGCTACCCTTTTCAGGAATTATTGTGCATCACGCTTATCTAATTAATGCTTATTAGCCGACCCCAAACTCTGACATGGCGAGATTGTGCTTTCCTCCAACCTGACTTGTCTTTTTTCTCCTTTTAGTACACTGTCAGCGGATTTTTTTACATTGCGAACTAAATAATACTTTAAGTATGTGCTATTGGATTTCCTACAGTATACAACCAATTGCAAGTGGTAAATAATAAACCATTTCCTTTGTCAGCTGCAACAGATGCCATTCTTTTCATTTGCTTAGGCACAAGTATACTGAATGGGGTCTCGAGGATTCAAGAGTTTAAATCACACCTATTTCATTTTATTATTTCCGATAGGTTTGTTGCAAAGGAGTTTTGTTTTTTAGTTTTTTGCGATCACTTCTTTTAATGACAATAGAGTGAAGAATATGGGGGAGGGTAGGCGCTTCCAAGTGATGGTATCATCTCTTCATCCCCAAACAAAGCAACCTTTTTCTCATAGTGATGATTAATTTTGAATTGCAGAAGTGAAAGTGAAAGCCAAGAATATCGGAGATTTCTCTCCTTCTCCCCCACACAGTGCAGAGCTGGGTGTCCCATCTCTCATCCGTAACCTTTCACTCCTCTCTCTTTCCTGCAGATCTGCTTGCATCTGCTTATTTATTACTTATTTTCGGAAGATTTTCCCTCCCTCCCTTTATTTTTGCAGCATGACAAATATTCTGTTTGCAAGAATTCAGATTTGCTATTGCTTTTTTATTCACCTCCCGGCGTTTTTTTTTCCCCTTCTCTTTTTTCTTTTCTTCCTCTTTTCTCTCTTTCTAAGATCAGGTCTTTAAAGTGTTGGCGATAACATCTCCGAACTGGAGATTATTTTTCATTGGGCCTATTGTGAGCAGTCGCCGGCTTATTGCACTGCTGCAGAGCCCGGTTCAGACTACACAAACGTAACAAATGAACAACTTGTCCTCTGCGGACTCACCGCGGGATCCAATTAGTTCCTAAACCCTTTGCACAAGTTTTCTAATTATTTTCAAGAGTTGCGGCTTTTATAGGCTTCCCGAAACTCATCAAGAAACCAACTCTTTTTAGGATTAAATGCTTCTTAAAATTACTCGTAGCGTTGCCCCCTTAAAACTAATGGATTGATTCTCCGGGCAACGGAGCACACTTAGGGACGCTTGCCTGGGTTAGCGGGCTTCAGCAGGCATTACCATCAGCAGACAGACAGGGAAGAAGAATTCCGTTTCAAAACTTTGAATCTAAGTGCATCCCCACAGTTCTGTTTTGTTTTGTTTTTCCCTAAAACGTTTCAACATCGGTATGCAAGCCAGGGCGTCACGTGACCCCGCCAGCCCTCTGCCTCACTGCAATGCACTGCAACTTCACCTCACCCCTGCTCGGCTCCTTCCCCGTCCGGAGGGCGAAAGGGGCAGAGGAGAGAGGTTCTAGCTGAAAAACTATCGCTGCTTTTACAATATTTAAAGCCAAAGTGTTTGCAGCATTAGAAGTATATAAACACATATAGCATAGATACTTCCGGAACAGCGTTTCTTTAAGATAAAGATTGCATTTTATACCCATACGTATTATAGCTTGCTAAACTCGATCAAATGATTATATGAAAGCTAATATGTATATGTATATACACACACATACACATCCATAGTTAATAGATCTCCAGTTATCATAGAGTCGAGATTAATATCTTTCGGAAGAATAATTCTTTGAATGCATTTCAGAGATTGCAATAAGAACACCTATCTAGGCAATAATGCATCTTGTTTTTTTCCCAATGCGTGCATATATACTTCAGTTTACATATATGTACATATATGTGTATATATACGTATGCAATTTTAAGCATCTTCAACGTAAGACAGTTTTTAGTAAGACACCCTGCCTCGTACTAACAATTTTTAAGCAGACTTGAGAAGAGTTCTGCCCCAAAAGGGACATCACAATAAAGGCTGTGGTGTTTAATTAAATACCCTGATCTTTACATTTGAAAATACTGTTGTTAAAGACAATATGATCGGAAGGGAGGCGGGGGTGGGGGGGAGAAAGGAGCATGTGAAAAATGGTGGACTGCCGTAATAAGCAGCGCTCTGATCTCCCTGTAACTTTAAAGCCTCTGGCATATTAATTTTAGTTAATAAAAGAGACAAAAAAACTATCAAGTATATATGAATTTAGCCTATTTTTTTATTTCTGTGTGTTCATAGTAAACATTTTGTAAGTGACAAACACGGGCATATGACCACAGTATCACAATCAAGAAATTTTAAGACGACATTAACAATCACTCAAATTTATGCGTCATTTGCGCAACACAGGTTACATATTTGCAAGGTTTACCTATAAGTACAATAGGTATTAACATTTCACTACATTTAGAAAAAAAATAAAGGTGACCTGTTAGTGACCACATACATCAAAATATACACAACACAAACTGAAGGCAATCATTAATTTTGTCCCCTTCTGATTCATTTGAACGGGCAGTGCTGCAAACTGAAATAATGTTGCTGTTTTTTAAATTACTCCGTACACTGAGTGCATTTTCTAAAACCCAATCTTTGGTCTAAAAGTAAACAAACAAACAAACAAACAAAAAAAAAGGAACCCAAAAAAAGCAGTTCGGTAAAGAAAAGGATAAAATAATAAATGGCCAAAATGTAGTTCTTGGGCATCTTTCAGTATTAATTCTGCTTAAATACAAATTACGTTTTAAGTTTGTTGTTTTTTTTTTTTTAGTTTTCATAAATTTAGTGGTGGTTTTTTATTTCTTTCAAGGTCTGCACCCACCGACATATCCATGATAACTTATAATACTGCAAACATGGAGAATCTGGCGGCTTTTAGAGATAGACTTATCGTATTTGAATAAAAAATTGCAAAAGCAGTCACTATTTAGATACACATTCTACTATAATTTTGTCTTCCAAACTTCATAGTCTACAATGTAATCTCCCCACATTGCACCTTGCTGACACTCCTCACCTTGGTGGAATAATAAACAACCCTAAAGACTGAACAAACGTACAGAAAATGGGGGAACTTAATAAAAAATACCTGGACTTTTTTGTTTTGCTTTTTTTTTTCTTTTAATTATCATTTACAATGCAAATGTGTGTAAAATGTTCACTTACAGTCTGATCCCATGGATGTTAATGTATTAAAGGGTTTGAAGAAGACCCCTGATTTTGATGTGTGAAATAATCAGAAAGTCCTCCGGAAAGTCCCGTTGTAAAACTTGGCAAAGAAGGTCTTAAGGACTCACAGGGGAGAGTGGAGGGTGCCTGTGGCGACGTGGAGGAGGAGGCTGCCCTGGCCGTCATTGAAGTGCTGCTTTGAGAAGTCATTGAAGGGTGAGGAACATGGGGGAAAAAGTAACTCGTCTGTCCTGCTAGGAGGTTTACAGAGCAGGGGTTTAGGGAATAGGTGCCGGAGCAGGGAACTGACAAGCCACACGGCACTGAGGCGGCCAGAGCTGCTGCTGTGAGGTGATGAGTGGCATAAGGTATCTCTCCATTGACTAGTCTATCAACACTTAACCCATTAGACGTGGAAAAGGAGTGGTTGTTTCCCAAGGAGTTTTGAGTCAACACTGAGCTGTAGGGCATGGGGTGGCTGGGGTAGGCGGACGTGGTCCCATTGTAACTCAAAGTGCTGCTGGCCCGGGGGTGGTGCAGGGAGAGGAAGGGGGACATAGGCCAGTACAAGGATCCTGCCCTATCCATGAATGTCAGTCCGGTGGAGGTGAGCCGGGCGCCCCGCTTGAAGGCCAGCTTGGCCCGCGAGGTGGTGGAGCGCCGGCGGAGCTTGCCGGTGGTGCCCCCGATGAAGACGTCGTCGCTGGAGGGGTCCAGCATCCAGTAGTTCCCTTTGCCCGGGTCGTCGTAGTGGCGGGGCACCTTGACGAAGCACTTATTGAGGGAGAGGTTGTGGCGGATGGAGTTCTGCCAGCCCTGCTTGTTCTCCCGGTAGTAGGGGAAGTTCTTCATGATGAACTCGTAGATGCCGTTGAGCGTGAGGCGCTTCTCGGGGCTCTGCCGGATGGCCATCATGATGAGCGCGTTGTAGCTGAACGGCGGCTTCTCGTACTTGCCGTTCTTCTTCTCCCCCTCCTTCCCGCTCTCCCCGTCCTTGGCCCCCTCCGCCGCCCCCTTCTTCTCCTCCGCCGCCTTCTCCTTCTCCTCCAGCTCCGCCGCCGCCGCCGCCGCCGCGCCCCCG